AAGCTGAAAATTACATGGTTTCACTTATATGTGGGATATAAACGTAAAATCAACAAATGAACAGGACAAACAAACAGAGACTCATGGACATGGAGTATTGACTAGTGGTTACCAGAGGGTTGGGGTTGGGGGAGGAGGGGAGAGGTGGATGGGGTAAAGGCGGTCAAATATGTGGTGACAGAAAGAAATCTAACTATGTAGGTGAACAACAGTGTAAATACATATATGCCTTACTGTTAAAGTGTACAGGTGAAACTTATTGGATTTCATTAACCAATGTCACCATAAAAAGTAAATTAATAAAAATAAATAAATAAATAAATTGGACTTTCTTATTCTATGCACCATGTCTCTCAACTTCTCTTTCACCTTCCCAATCTCTTTACAAATCTCTGGTATCATTTTCTTTGTATTTATCTTCTGAATACATTAATTCTCTCCTTATCTGCTGCATTTGCCTTACTCTTCAACTCATTATATGTATTATATTATTTATTACTTATATATCATGTATATTATATTTAAAATATACATTATACAGATACATTATATATGTACATATATACACATATATTCATATATGTTCATTTACATATATGTGTAAATATGTATATATGTATATTACACAGTCCTGGAATTCCAATATGCCAGTTCTTTTTCATATTGATCTGTTCCTGACTTATGGCTTCTATTCATTCATTTTTTAAAAAAAATTTATTGTATTAGTTTCAAGTATACAGTACATTGGTTAGACATTTATATACTTTATAAAATGATTCCTCTAATTGCTCTTTCTCTCCTCTGGCTCTCCACTTAGCCATTACATTAATGCTAACTGCATTCCTTATGCTGTGCTCCCCATCCCTGTGACCATCTGTCATCTACTAATTTGTACTTCTTTAACCTTTCACCTGCAACCCCCCTCCCCTCTGTCCATCCCCAGATTGTCCTCTATATTTGTGAGTCTGTTTTTGATTAGTTTGTTCTTTTTGTTCCTTAGATTCCACATATAAGTGAAATCATTTATCTTTTTAAAATATTTATTGTAAAACCTCTTTCTGATTGGTCTAGTATTTCTAGTTCTTGGAGTATAAATTTTCCCAAATATTACATCTGATCACATTGCCTCAAGGTAGTTCATTTCCTTGGGAAGTCTGTCATTTTTTTAATCATGAATTTATTTTCTGTAAATGTTTTCCAACAGAGTCCCAAATACCCTAGGTTATAAGCCTCCCTTTAAAACCTGGGGGGTTTCTCACTGATTTCAGACCAATTATTAGTGTTAATTCTTTAGCTCAGTGTCCTTGCCATTTCATAGTCATCTGAACTGTGATCACACATCCATACTACACAGTCCTGGGATTCCAAATTTTCTCAGGTGACTTTTTCCTACCCATTGCCCAGGGGATACAGGAAGTTTTCTGATACTTTCCCACGCTGATGGGCATAATTTCTCTGGCCATCCACAACCTTCCAACTTTATATTAGTTCTACCTCATATAGAAAGAGGCCTGTGGTCTAGACCCTCCTTTCCATGTAATTATTATACTTCAGCCTATAATCATTTAGGCTTACATCTAGTTTTGTACTGCCCATTAGCAGTTTTAGTTTTAGTTACTGCTCACTACTAAATTTAAATTATTTTGTTTCTGCCATCTAAGTATTGTTCATTCTTGTTTTAAGCTTGGTTACACATTTATACTATAATTATTTCCCCTTTACTTTCTATATTTTTTTTGGGGGGGAGTGAAGATTCCAGATACTTTTGTGAGTTCTTAATCTGTCAGAATAACTAGAGGTCAATCTCAAAATAAGAATAACTTTAAAAGCAAGAATAACATAAAGTGGTAAAAAGTCTAGTCCAGAGAAATGACTATTTATAAGATCTGATTTCAACCAAATAACTCTAAGGATACTCTGCCAGAATTAAATTGTTTTATGAAATTACTTCAGAAATGAACCCAAAATTTAAACCAGTCAACCTAATAGCGAAGAAAGGAACTATATATTTTGAGTTTTATCTGTATTTGTTGTCAAATTAAAATTAAACTTTCTGTTTAATTATTCTTCCAATAATTAAAAATATTACATTTGAAGGGATTGCTACCAAAGACACAGATTGATAAATATATGTTTGTTCATATTTACGTTCACTTTGGTGATACTACTATATTGTTCTAAAGTTGGGACCAATATTTTTGACAAGGACCTAAGTTAATATAGATGAAAACCAGCAAAAAAAACAAAAACAAAAACAAAAAACTAGTTATATATCTATTTAAAGTACTTATGCTAGTGGCAGGCATGACACAAAATATGCAAAATCAAACAGTTTTCTGTATATAATAGTGTTCCATAAAGATTTCATCAATACTACTACCAGTAATAATTAAAGCAACATACGTTGGAAGATGCTCGGAATGCCTGATTTATTTCCTTTTGTTTGTGAAGAAAAGTCTGGCTGAGGTACAGGAACTCTACAAGATGAAAAAATAACCAATAGTTATAAAAAGAGACCTGGATGGAAAAAAAATGAATTGGTTCCATTCAGAATTTATTCTAATTCAATAAATTTAGAAAATAATAGGCTTTTTTTCTTAAAGTAATGCATTAAACATATAAGGAAAATACATTCAAATTATGAACAAATATCCATATATAACATAATTCAAAAACTGCAATAGATTTAAATATTATTATAAGAAGTATTCCACAGAAAGAAGTATTCACTTTATTAAATATCAACTAAAGATGGATATATATTTTTTGTTCTCTACAATAGGAATTTAAAAATTAGTTCAATGGCCTATTTTCATGTCTGTTCTATTCAAATTTTCTGGAAAATTATATGACTTAACTCTCCAACCTCATTCCAGTTTTTTTTATAAGCCTCATGGTGCTTCAAATCTTCATTCATGCTTTTCTTTCTGCCTGGACCAATCCTATGCTGCTTTTCCTTTGCCTGGTTAACTCTCACTCATCTTTCATAATTTAACTCACGCATTATTTCCTATAAGAAGCCATCACTGATCTCTAGTCAAGGCTCACTGCTCCTTGTATATGCTCTCACAGCATCATGAATACACTTCTATCATAGCATTCATCAGAGTGTATTGAAATCGAAGGTTTACCAGTCTGTCTCTTCTACCTGATTCTGCTATAAGCTCTACAAAAGTATAGACTTCATTTCACTTTTGTATATCCACATAATATCTGCTAACTAACTGTTTAATGAACTGAAACAAATGGAGGAAAAGGGAAATATCTTATTTTGAGGCTAAGGAGAAACCTGCTTCCATAAGGAAAGATTTCCATCTTATGGGCTTTTAGCATATTTCTATGATGAGTTTTTTCTATTGTTGTATTCCAAAACGAAAAGCATAAAACAGAAATGCCGTATTGTAGAATGCCACATAATATTGGTCAACTTATTTTATCAATAGATTGGTTTTATAAGAGTAGTATTTTTCATTTTACTAGTAGTTACTAATGAACTAAAAAGAAGCAGGTTTCACAAAAAAGAATGCATCCATTTAACTAGAAAACTCTAGCAAATAAAAACATATTTTACAGTTGTAGTGCTAATTTTTTCAATTACTGAAAACATCATATTTCTAGAAATTAGTGAATTAAAAACATCGATTTTGAAAGAAATGTAAATAACTAAAAATAGTTAAATTATATGTATTTTGAGATACTTAAACAGCATGTTTATACTTTTAAATGCATGTGATTATAAAATAACTTTTTTTTTCATTTCTGAACTAAATTATAAGAATTAGTTTTCCAAACTGTAACAGCACCATTATATTGTACATAATTTTGAAATGTGCCTTAGGAGATTTTTACTGGAATCTGTAATCATTCATTTGTATGATTTAATGTCTTAAAGATGCTGAAAGACATAAGTGGAATATACAATGTCTATGGGTATCAACTGAGAAAACTGAAAATAAGAGGAGATAAAAAATGAAAACATAAGAAGTATTGAAGGATAACTGAGGACAGAAAGGGATAAGAGGGCTAAAAGAAGAGAAGATAAAGATACGTATGGTGGGTAGTGGCTGAAAGAGTTTTGAGATGCGTAATAGAAAAAGCCTCAACTGCCTTGAAGAGAATTTTGGTATAAAAATAGATTCTGAAGGAAAATCTGTTGAGGGCTCAGAAAGAAGAAAGCTATAGACAATAGCTGAAAGAATACACACATTGTCATGAACGAATTATTACTAGAAATATGAATGTAAAAGGAGCTTCTGGTGAGACCTCAGACAGAAATAAAGAACATGCTATTGGAAACTGGGTGAAAGGTGAGCCCTGATATAAAGCAGTAGAAGATTTGGCTGAATTGTGCTCTGTTGGATGGAAAGAGAAACTTGTATGCAATGAACTTACATATTTAGCTGAACTTTCTAAGCAATGTTTTGAAGGCACGGCCTGGTTTTTCCTTGCTGCTGATAGTAAAATACAAGAGGGTAAAGAGAGTTTAAAAGAGAAAAAAAGGAACCAGAATTTCAATACTTGAAAAATTCTCAGCCTATTCATATTGAGAGAGAGAGAGAGAGAGAGAGAGAGAGAGAGAGAGAGAGAGAGAAAGAAGGGAGGGGGGGAATTTGCTCTGGGGAGAATGCCAAGGGTGTTGTTGGACAACCATTTGCCCAAGAGATTAGGCTTGTGACTTGTGAATCCAATAAACCAACTCAGGAAGCATGCTGCTGTCTTAGACTGAAAGGAACATAGGTGGGATGAAATGAAGAAAGATTGCTGAACTTCTGGAATTCTACAGTCAGGAAATGAGCCAATAGAGATATCTAGCTGTGATCATGTGTTATCCTTCAAAATAAGGGAAGAATGTCTATGGCCATGCCACCCTGAACAAGCCCAATCCCGTCTGATCTCAGAAGCTAAGCAGGGTCAGGCCTGGTTAGTACTTGGATGGGAGACTACCTAGGAAGACTAGGTGCTGTAGGCATAAACAATAAAAAATAAGGGATTGTAAGCTCACACGGTCCTTGTAATCTGTGAGGTCAAGCAAGGGTTGCCTCACCTAAAAAAAAAAAAAAAAAAAAAGGGAAGAATGACCCTGACAGTGAAGCCTTTTCCTCAGGTCCAGATGACAGGGCCACCTCTTCAAATCCAGAAGGCAGGGCCAAGGGCATGTGAGAAAGAATAATTTTGGAGCCTGAAAATCAAATGGAATTAGCCCTGCTAGGTATCGGATTTGCTTGTGACTCATGATCCCTTTTTTCTTTCCAATTTCTCCCCTTTGGAATGCCTGTCCCACCACTGTATTCTACACAGATAACCTGTCTAGTTTCACAGGTTCACAGATAGAAAATAATTTTGCCCCAGGATGAATCACCCTGCATCTCATCCATACATGATTTAGATGAGATATAGATGAGATTTTGGACTTAGAGTTGATGTTGGTATGAGTTAAAACTTTTGAGGATGTTGTGATGGGGTGAATGTATTTTGCATGTGAGAAAGATACACATTTTTAGAGAACAGAGGGAGGATTATAGGTTTTTATGGTTTGAATTATGTCCCCACCAAATACCAATATGACTACCAGTATATAACCAATTATATCTTCAAAGAGCTTCAAACTGTGACCTTATTTGGAAATAAGATCGTTGAAGATGTAATTGGTTAAGATAAGGTAATATAGGAGTAGACCAGTACTCCAGTCCAATATGGCTGGTATTTTTACAAAAAGGGGAAATTTGGATACAGATGTGTCCCCAGGGAGAATACCATGGGAAGATGAAGGCAGAAATTGGAGTAATGCATCTATGAGCTAAGAAAAGCCAAAGGTTGCTACCAGTAAACCAGGGAAGGACATGTAACATATTCCACATTACGGCTCTCATAAGTAACTCACCCTGCCAATATCTTGATCTCAAACTTTGGCAGCCCTAAAAAACTAATACAGCTTTTAGTACCATCACTTATTTTACAGAGTAGAAACAAATAAAAAAATTAATCTGCTTTGTATACAATTAATACAACTGACTTACAGTTTGTCATAAGGCCCTTGCACAATCCTTTTTTTCTTGGTAGGGCTCAAACTTGTATATGTAGTTTGACAACACTGAGGACTGACAGGACCATCCTCTTGATGCTGTTTATCATCTCTTTCCTGACTCTGACTTTCTCTTCCAGCTGCTTGGGATGTTGAGGGTCGATTAGCATTCTAAAACCAAAATTTAGAAAAGAATGTTTTAAATTTATAAAAATTATTTTTCTCTTAAAAAGGTCTACAATTTTAGATTACTGATTTTTCATAATCTTAAGAGTTATGACAAAACATTGCAACCATATCAGTACTTTTATAAAGATGATTTATCCTAATTCATCTGCTATACAAATATTTTTAAAGGGAAAAATCCCTCTTATATTAATATAGCTGAAAAATTGGATCAGATGCACACTTCCATATGAATAGTAATCCAAGAAATAATTTTTAAAACATAAACTCACAGGGAAACATGCTGGAGTGAGAGACATTCCCGGATTTCTCCCCTTGAAACAACAATAAGCTGACGTATGAAATAGTTTTGTTTCATACTTTATTTAAAACTCAACAAAAAACACCCAAACTGCACACCAGTACATCTGAGTGTGGGATATGCACGTAAGAGCTACCATAGGTCAGAACCCTGGGTGTTTGGCGGTGGACTGGGAGAAATAAAGAAGCTGACTCTCGCAGCCTCAGGAGCTCTCTGTAGGAAGAGAGGGAGGGAAGAAGATGCGGTGACTTCCATTAACAGTCCTGCCTGGAAGTGCTGCAAGTTCCACGCAGCATGCGGCAGGGCCTGGTCATCAAGGCTGAAAGTAGAGAAGTGGGATGGGACTGCAGAGAAACAACAGTTGATTTTTACCAGTCCTGGTTGCAAAACCGAGGCTGTACCATAGCCTCTAACTCCCAAACCAGACGGTCCCTCCCCTCATACTCTCTGAGACCGGTCACCGTGGAGCCCCAGGGGAATCTGAGCAAAATGAACAGGACAAACAGAGACTCATGGACATGGATAATGGACTAGTGTTTACCAGAGGGTAGGGGGTGGGGAGGAGAGGGGAGATATATGGGGAAAAGGGATCAAATATAGGTGGGTAGGGGGAGGGTGAAGTGAGTAAAGGGGATCAAATATATGTTAGCTGAAGGAAACTGGACTTTGGGTGGTAAACACACTAGAATATACAGGTGTCAAATTATAATGTATACCTGAAAGTTATAGAATTGTATTAACCAATGTTATCCCAATAAACTTAATTGAGAAAATAAACTCATGAAAAATTAACTTATTTGTCTTAATTGTGCCTAGATTTCAGAAGTGGTGTCTTCTAGTACAGCAGTTCTTTTACAAGAGTCATTGCTAACTCTTATAGAACCTGAGTAAAACTGCCATGCTAGATATAGAGGTAAAAATTTCCTGCAGAAGTGTTTCTACAGTTCTGGTCTTGACAAGAAGTAGGAAAAGAATATACAGGCATATCTTGTTTTATTGTGCTTCACTTTATTGTGCTTCACAGACATTAGGGTTTTTTTTTTTCCCAGTAGGCTCAGATAATGGTTAGCATTTTTTAGCAATAAAGTATTTTTTAAATTAAGGTATGTGCATTTTTAAAAGACATATATATTGCACACTTAATAGACTATAGTATAGTAGTAAAATAACTTGTATATGTACTTTTATATTCATTGGGAAACCAAAAATTTCATGTGACTTGCTTTATTGCATTATTCCCTTTGTGGGGTGGTCTGGAACCAAACCCAGGATATCTCTAAGATATGCCTGTAATCATATATACCACCTGGGAATTTAAATAGTGATAATCGTAATAGGCTCAAATTATTCAGAAAGCAAAAACAAGATACCAAGTTTTCTGGGCCCTAGGAATTATCAGAGACTGTGTAACCTTCAGCCCAGCCAGCTCCAAAATGAATGACAGAAAAGGAAAACAAACAAAAAAAAATTTTTTTTTCCTTTTAGTTTTACATCAGTAAGAATCAGTAAAATGAACAAGGTATCAATTGTAATTATGATCACAGTGCTTTCAGAGATATACTGTTAATTCTCTGGCATCATACCTGAAATGTTTCTGATGCTGAGGCACTTTCAGTTGTACTGCTATGGGGGATATACTTTATAACCGTAATTATTCCCTGAATTGCAATGCGCTTTTGTTCCCTATACTGCAAGTCTTCAATCTCCTTCCTCACTTCACTTATAGCTGTCAAGAGCGATTCAACTGCAAAAGAATAATTCCAAGGAAACTGTAAGTTTTAAAGCACTGAAATGATAAAAATAAGAATTAGATTTGCAATGTAATTTTACAACATGAAATTATAAACTTGCTACATAACTCAAATTTGTGAGACTTTGTGTTTATATCTGGCATCCTCTTATGTAATTTCTGTAAAATAGGCAAAACATATTTATCAGTTAAATAGTGCTAGTCTTCTAGTCTGGAATGTTAATTTAAAACAGAAAATTTACATATTGAATATAATTTATGTACCATATTTCAGACTATAAAGTGTCTGAAATAATTACCTAGCCACTTAATAGAAACACACATTTTAACATTTTCAAACATATACTACATATTGATGGCATTATAAAGTACAAGAGATGCCAATATTTTGATGATAAAAGGTCAGTATTACCAAGTTTCTCTTTTTCCAAAATCATGCAATTATCCCATAGCTTCTTAAAAAGAATACACTTATATTAAAATTTTCAACTGTCATATCTTAATTGTACTAAAATAATGTTTGGTCTTTCATTAGTACTTATTCTGCATCTCATTTACCTTGGTGTCATTTTTATTTAAAGGTAGCACCTATTATGTTATATACAATATATATCACTCTACAAGAGCAGCATAATACAGTTGTCGGTATCTTGATTGATATTATATTTTTCAGTATCCCCTTAGATATGTTCAATCTCTCTAATGTCATAGGAGTTGAAATCTACTAAGGTCAGATTTGATCTTAATGACATTAAATCAAGATATTATCTCTATTCATCATCTATGTTCTTTCTCTTCTTTCAGTTTAATAAAATAAAAATATTAACCTTTAGGAGACATAACATGTATTTTTAGGTCTTCATAAAGAGACAATTATTATCAGTGAATGTTGCCACACTTTGACTCACTCCCATTAAAACTCTTTAAAATAAAGATGACTAACTGATATAGCAGATACCATACAAATAGTATATAAAGATCATAAAAACTAGCAATTGTATTAGTACCTTTAACAGAATTTCTATACTTTGAAAATGTCTCTGGCACTGGTGGAAAGGGGTAATATCCACCAATAACAGCATTCTTCTTTTCTCCAGAATCAGTCTTCGTTTTAATCCAGCGAATAAAATTTTTTACTTTACTATCATTAGCACACAGCTGGCCTCTATGACCTGTTTGCAAGAAGGTTAAAGTGAAGGGAAAAAAAGAAAAAAAAAACTCACTGTAATAAACTGCATGAACTTTTTTGTGTAAAAACAGTTTAATATTAAAAGTTTCTTATGTCACCAAAACTAGGTCAAATTCATTTATTCTCTATGTAGCATTAATATTCATACAAAAATTGTCAAAAAGAATAAACAAATTCTAAGTCAAGAAGAAAATCAGACTTGTTAGAGTTTTAGTGGACTAAATGGTAGCTGTCTACAGGATACTCAAAACCCATAAGAAAAAGGAAACTCAAAATGGATTTTTCTAACTATCCAAATGGTTGGGATCTTCTTAAAAAATTGATTTTTAACTCATGTATTATCTTGAAGGTATGGTATCGTGTATGAACTAAATTGCCTATGAGTATAGCTCAACATTTAAATTCATGTTTTTAAAAAAATACTTAAAAGTGCTATTTACATCTGATATTATTAGTATCTATTTATATCTGATATTATTAGTATTTATAAAATGAGGTATTGACGAAGAAGTTGTGTGTTACACACTTCTAGGACTCCTCTTTTGACACGTTTAATTACCTATATGGTAGCATTCTAGTTAATATACCATTCCACAGTATCCCCTCACTCATTTGCAAACTTTTGTCTTTATTGTTTTGACCCCGTTATCAAAGAAAATAGAAAAAAAAATAATGTACTTATAGGTAACTAGTGAAACTCTTCTTGCTCTATAAGTAAAATGAGAGGTCCTGGGGCCAAAATTTGATGTACGTCATTTATTTATTTATTTGTTTGTTTGTTTGCTTATCTATTATTTATTTATTTATTTATTCATTCATTCATTCATTTAGTTTAGTTTTGTTATATTTAGTATTATTTTGTTTTATTGTATTTTATTTAGAATTTTAAAATATTGTTAATTGAATCCATATTGTAATATAGATCCGGAGTCTTCAGTCAAGCAATTTATGATTATCTACTTTATATAAAGCAGGAATTAAAGTTAGCCAAAGAATATAAACACAATTCTCCAGTGAGTCACAAAATTATTGCTTCGATCACAAATAATATACTTCACAGGTTAAATATTCTTGGTTAAAACATTCTTATAGTGATAGGAATGCTATCTTGTGGTTTGATGCTCTAATGTAAAAGATAATTTAATGAAGAGAAAATAATATTACATTTCCAATAAAGTATATGCAAAGAAATTGCTCACCAGTAATAATCACTCGACTCTCATTTGTAGTGGTGAGATAAAGCAGTTTAGGTACTTGAGTGTTATTTCTGACAACTTTCAACTGTGTACACATGAAATATGTCACTGTAGAAAATGAAAACACTTAGGAAATTACTTCTGTATTTCAAAGAGGACATACCAAGATCAGGATCTAACACAGGGCTCCTGAAACTTTAATAAACACAAGAATCAGCTGAATCAATTGTTAAAATGCAAATTAAGATTTACTAGTTTTAGGGTGGGGCCTGAGATTATCCATTTCTAATAAACTCCTAGGTGATACTAGTGCTGCCAGTCCCTTGTCCACACTCAATAAGGATTTAACACTTACCTTTTCCTTTAAAGGATCTAAAACTTACTTTTCCTTCAGAAAGTACCATAGATGTACCTACCTGAAGTCACTGTTTGCTACACAGTTGAACAGTGCAAGTCTTTCTAATGGAGCATGCAACTGAATGTGAATAGTTATTTCCTACAGAGAAAAAAGCTTAGTTTCTCCATGATGCTTTCACTGATTAACTCAATCTAAGACTAATCCCTCAATTACTCTGACTCTTTCTACTGGATAGGGGTATGCAGTGTTAATTTGAATTTGCTTATGCAAGTTTTACATGTGTTCATCTTAATTAGACTTTAAGCCTCAATGACGGAGCTTATATCACCTATCTTTTTCTGTTCCTCTTGCTAAGCAATTTGATAGACTAAAAAGAATTCCTGAAAATAAGATAATGTCTTCAGACTTCAACAACTTTCAAGAGCTATCAATTGTTTTTAATTATCTATCAGGTTATTTGGGAATATTTCCTTAATCCAACAATTTTTAAATATTTCAACTCATTACATGCCAAAACAGTTATGGTCTTACAAACTAAGAAATGAAGAAATAAATGTAAATACTTGTAATCTCATAATACCGGTAAGTTCTCATTTGAGAATATTTCCCTAGAGCATGATAATAATTATAAATTCATTTCCTATATTTCATATTTACTAGACCTTTATTTTGTAGCAATGAAAATAAATCTGTTCACCTGACTAAGAATAATTATCTTAATTTATATTGCTTTTTCTTTATTTCAAAAACTACAAATATGTGAGTATTCATGGTTAAAGATGTTGATATAGGAAAATTAATGAAATCTCTAGTTCTAATATTACGGCTGTTAAAAATCGGACATTCAGATCTAACACTTTTAGCTGTTTGACCCCCAGGACAAATTACTTAACCCCTCTGGACCTTTGTTTCCTCGCCTGTAAATTTGTAAAAACAACTCTTTAAAAGGTAACTGAGAGTATAAAATGAGATAACATCTACGAGCATCTGGTATACAGTAAACACTCGATATTAGTTTCCCTTAGCTTTTTACCTTCCTTAAAAGTAAAAAAGATGATGTATTACCAAAGGATTCTGGTATTATTCCAGAAGATCCTTGATTGTGTTCCTCTTCATAGGCCTGAAGCCCCCTTAATACCATTCATTTAATGATTTTTTTTCCACTCTTGTCAAAAGATAAAAATAAATTCTGATTGTTGTCAACTACTGTATTAGAGGAAAATCTCACTAAAGTCCATGCAAACCTTTCTTAGAAATATATTATTTCATATTATCGCAAGAAATAAAACATGCATGTTTGGCAACATTTCTGTGAAAAATCATTATCCTACATGTGTGTCAGTTTATTGTTTAAAGCGGCTACAAAGAGAGAGGAACTTGGCCATAAAACCGATCTAAAATGAGGTAATGAGATTGTTGTCATTAGAGGTCATTACTGCCATTCATTTATGCCCTTAGAAAAGTTATAAGAGAGGTTATAGCCCACTCACCTTGGCCTTGGTTTTGGCTAAAACTCTGCCCTCTCCCTTAATAGCTGGGGTAAGGTCTGGTTCTATTCAGATATATTTAAAACATTAATTTCACAAGTAGAGGGTGGAATCTAATGAGGTATTATCTGAATGGTGTTAATACTGCTTTGTAATAGAGAACAGCTTTGTATGTAGTCTCTAAGTCTCCTGATGTTCCATAATTTCTACTATGTTGCTGATTTTAAAATAATTACATGTAGTCAAGACTGGGAGTTTCCCCAATGTTGACAAGCATATAACAACTAGTATTTTATTCATATAATCATTTGGAAAATAGTAAAATAACACACCATATCTAAAATAATTTTATGGCACAAATTCAAAGAAGGAAACAATTCGCTGAAGTTGTTAAAAAGTATTATGTACATTTTTTTCCTATAATAGATCTGAAGACTAATGTGATATAAAATGTATAATAAGGCATACCTAAAATGTTTTCAAATAAGTAAAGTTAATGGAAAAAATAGCTATAAATCTGAATGAATGCAAGGGAAAAAAGTCAACACCAAAGTAGGTAAAATATTGCCCAGCTGGTATAACACCACCAACTTAATATTAATTTGATACTCAAATGGAATCATACTTATCATTGTCAGTATTTAATTGTACAGCCTGCCAATCCTCTACCAATTTTACATTAGCAAAGTCTTCATTGTCTTTTATGGGGTCTACTTAGTCAATTTCCAAGTGGATACAATGGGAATCGACTGCGTATATTTTAGTTTCACTGAATCATAAGCTTTTATGCCTGAAATGCTAACAATGAGAATTGATGAACACCTGCTTTCTGAAAAAGTAGTTTCAATCCAAATTAATTCTGAATAGAAAATCAGAAGGTAGTTAATGTCTGTAATACCAAATATAATATTAATGCAGAAACAATTTAAACATGTTATCAGACTGCTTGAATTTGCTAACTCAATATCATGACACTCCATAATTACGGTTTGCCATTTTTTAAGTTAGTGTCCTCACTTCTAAAAATAAAAAGATAAAAATACTGGAACTTAGTACTTGGGCAAATATTTTCAAAGATTTCTGGCTGAGATGTAGAAAACAGTTCCACTATAAATGGATGTTGTGAAGTCCCATCAGCAATGTGAATCCAGCGATATGACCAAAAATCTTCACGGTTTTCTATATGGATAGAGAATTAGAATAATGAAGGTAACTATGCATACATGGACACAGAACTATTCACTGAAATACTTTTTAGGACTTTCAATTTCAAAAGCTTACCTTTCTTTTTTGACCGCTGGACTCTTCCTACAAAAACTAAAATGCCAATAACGTCACAGATTTGCTTTTCTGCCATATTATCCAGTTCCGATCTAAAAAAAACCAACAAATTTGTTAAATAGATATTATATCTCTAACAGTGAAAAAGCATTTTGTAATTATGATTGTGAAATGTACATTTATGTAATTACTACAGCAAAATTTGGGGTAGATTTTGAGCAAATTACAATACAGTATTTCAGTAACTAACATTGAAAATTCTTTAAGATATTTTACAAGAAGCTATTTTACCTTGTGACAAAGCGGTGATTTAGTTTTGGCAATCTCCATTCTGGTTTCACTTGCCTTTCAGGAATTATTATTATATTATTAGGGGGATCTCGAAGGTTCAGGCAGACTTCTGAAAAACAAATATATTACTTTAATATTATATTTAATACATATAAAATAATATTCATGTGTATAAATTACACAGGAAAATAATAGACTGAACGCTTTTGAGCTCAACACTAAACCTAAGAACTAGACCATTATCAATAGCTTTCTTCCACCTGTTACTACATTGTCACATCCACTTATCTCCCCACCAATGGTTAACCATACTTTAAATTTTGTGTTTTATCATCTACTGACTTAAAAAAAAAATTTAAATTACTTATGTGTTTTTGCCCAAACAAAATACTGTTAAGCTTTATTTGTTTATGAACTTTAATGAATGGAATCATATCATACATAGTATTCTAGGGCTACTTTATCCACTCAACATTATGGTCCTAAAATTCATCCATGCAGCTGTATTTATTTTTTTCTCATTTCCACTGCTGAATAATATTCCGTGTTGGCATACTTCAATTTTATTTACCCATTATCATGTTGACGGAATCTGAATTATTTCCAGTTTTTGGGTCACAAACAGGGTCACTATGAACTTTTTGTACATGCCTTCCTCTGTACACAGGCAAGAGTTTTTTTAAGGTATTATACCCAGGAAAGAATCCTTGGATTGTACAATATGCAAATGTTCCACTCGACAGGATAATTCAAAACTATTTTAAAGGACCTATTTATAGTTCCATTGACAACGTGTAAGAATTACCATTGATCCATATCTTCTCCAAATTTTGGTATTGTCAAATTTCTTATTATATGTCAGTCTAGTGACATAAAATCACAATTTGTCATGGTCTTATTTTACAGTTCCATTATTGCTAATTATGTTGAACAACATTTTATATACTTATGATTCATTCATGTATCCTCTTCTGTTAAATGCTGGTTTGTGTCTTTTGCTCATTTTTCTATTGGATTGTTTTTCTTTTTCTTATTTATTTGTAGGACTTCTTAATATAGATTGGATACTAATTCTTTGCTGATTATATCACTGCAAATATCTTCACCCACTTTGTGATATGTTTTTGCCTGCCAATCCTCTACCATATGTGTGTGTGTGTGTGTGTGTGTGTGTGTGTGTGCATTTCAATTATATGTTGACATACAATATTATATTAGTTTCAGGTGTACAATGTAGTAATTAGACTTTTATATAACTTATGAAGTGATCACCCTGATAAATCTAGTAGTACCCATTTCATACCACACATAGTACTTAAAATATTGACTACAGCTCTTAATTTTAACGTGGTTAGCTTTATTAATCTTTTCTTTTTTTAGTTACTATTTCCTGTGTCTTATCCAAGAAGTCCTTCCTTATCCCAAGGTCAAAAAGATACTTTTCTGTTAAGTTCTTCTAAAAGTTTTGTCTTTCATATTTAAGTATTTGATATATCTGGAATTAATTTTTTTATACGGTATGATAGGGATATAATGTCAGTTTTCCTCCTATATATCACCAATTTTCCCAATGCTATTTATTGAATGGTTCCTTTTTCCTTGATGATCTGTACAGCACATTGGCCATATATCAAAATTTTATATGTCTAGAGTTGTTCCTTGACTCTGTATTGCGACTTGGTGGTCAATTTGTCTATACTTATACCAATACTGCACAATCATAAATACTTTATAATAATTCCTTATATTTCTAGGATAAGCCTTTACTCGCTCTTCAGCCCTCTACTTTTTGTCTGAAGTGTATTGACTATTCTCGATAATTATGTACTTCCACACAAATTTTAGAGTCTGTTGTCAGTTCCTCCCCCCAAAATCTGATAGAATAGCATTAAATCTACAGATCAATTTGGGGGACTTGACATACTTATGAAATGGAGAATGGCCTACTACATAAGAACATGGGATATTTTTCCATTTATTTAGGGATTATGTAAAGTCTTTCAATAAAGTATTATAATGTCCTCCAAACAGGTCTTACATATTTTGTTAGGTTTATTTGTAGATACTTCATAGTTATTGTTGACAAGGTAAATTATGTTTTTAAAATTATAATATCTAACTATTACTGGAGTATACAAAATGAATTTTACACTCCAATAACAAAGTTAGAAATTATTGACCTTATAGCTGGCTTTGCCAATATCTTATTATTTTTTAATACTTTGTGTTCACTTGGATTTTCTTTGTAGAAAAATCTGAATAAAATTTTCTACAATTTTCTTTGTAGAAAAATCTGAATAATGACAGTTTTGTTTTTCTTTAAAATCCTTATACCTTTAATGCTTTATGTCTTTGCACACGGCTAGGACAGCCAGTAAAATATTAAATAGAAACAGTAATAGGTGGCATCCATGTTCCCCATTTTAAAAAGGAATGTTTCTAAATTTTCCCCACTAAGAGTTGTGTTGTTGTTTTGTTTTCATTTTGTAAATATCCTTTGTCAGGTTAAAGAAGGTTCTTCTTCTTGTTTTCTATTTAAAATTTATAAATGGGTGTAAAATTTTAATGAATGCCTTTCGAGATTCTATTAGGATAACCATTATCTTCTTTAATCTGTTAATGTGATGAGTAAAACTTATAAATTTTCACAAGTAAAAGCAACTTTGCATTGCTGGAGAACAAAGCAACTTAGTTACAGTGTGTGATCACTTTTTACATTTAACTGAATTCAGTTTGCTAATATTCTATTCAGAATATCTATGTATATGTTCGTGGCTGAAACTAGCCTTTAATTTTCCTTTCATACTATTCTTGTTTGGTTTTGATTATCAAGGTTATGTTGGTAGCAAGAATGAGTTAGAGAGTATGGCCTCTTAGTCTTTTCTTTGGAATAGTTATGGAATGATATATTCCTTGAATGTTTGATAGAAATTGCCCGTGCAATGGTGCACCTGGTATTTCCTTTGTGGGGAGATTTTAAACCTCTGATTTAATAACTTTAATAGTTATAGAACTATCTGGGCTGCCTATTTCTTTTTATGCCAGTAAGTAATATTTTACTACGAATTTTCTGTGTAGCAAACAAAGACTAAACCAGGATGAAGATACTTGATTTTTCATCCTATTACAAGGCATGCAACTAGAAAATTTATTTTATCTTTATGAGTCTCAGTCTTTTTTTTTTTTTTGAGTCTCAGTCTTTTAATATATGAGTAAGGCAAGTTTGTATTATATAATATTGTCTTATCCTTAAAAAACAGTTTGCATTTTGCTTTTCATAGTTATAGTTACTCCACTATATTGAAGGTCCCTTCTAGTTCTGAAATGCTAGGATTTTGAATGAAATAAATAGCCCCTTCTCTCCAAAGTCCAAAACACTCACTGTTACTATCTCAATATGTATTATGCAATACAGTCTGAAAAGCTCAAGATTTAAAAAGGCTTATTATTTGGATATACAAACTGAATACTATTTCGTAAAAGGTAGGACAGAATGATATATGAAATGGCAATATACAAAGTCATACATTACTAGCTAATAATTTGTCCTTTCTTTTACAATAGAATTATTTTCATAGGCTTCCATGTATTAAGTTTTTTAAAAAACACATCTTAGCTGGCTTCTGCTCAAGATGATAGAGCAGGTAAATGCTGTGCTTGCTTCCTCTCACAACTACATCAAAATTACAATTAAACTACAGAAAAGCCATCATTGAGAGTCACTTGAAGTCTAGTTGAACACATGTCTTACAACTGAGAACACACAAAAGAGGCCACCTCAAGACTGGTTGGAAGGATGGATATGCAAAACGGGCTTGTTTCACACCTTCTGTGGCAGTTGAACATAGGGAGAATTATCTCGGCTGTGGAGGACCTCCAGGAGAGCGACGAGTCCCAGCACAATACTGGGCTCCCCAGCCCAGGATTCCAGTGCTGGAAAGAGAAGTCTCCATAACTTCTGACCACGAAAGGCAGTGGAGATTGTAACTGAGTAAGACGGATGGCTGAGGGAGTCTCAGACATTCCTCTTAAGAGGCCTGTGCACGGATTTACTCAGTGATGAATTCACTTGCTCTGAGCTTCGGCTCTGGGGTAACAGCTCTAAAGGTGCCAGGAATATACGAGGACAAACAGTCGTCTGGCTTCAGGGTGAGGGCTGGAGAGGCATTCTCCCAGACAAAAGTGCCGGCAGAGGGCATTGTTCCTTTGTTGAGCCCTTTCTCACCCGGCTTGCAGACCCAAGCAGGCACCATATCAGAGTCTCCATTAACCTAACACTAGTCGCCTCGCCCTGGTGATTTTCCTGAGACCCTGACCCTCTAAAAGTGTGGGCACACCCAAGCCGCTGTCAGTGGATTTTCCATACAAATGGCCTGTCTTGGCTCATGCTGCAAACTTTCCTAAAATCTCTCAAAGGTTCTCAAAACCTAAACCAGCATCTGGCCTAGGGGTGCCCCATAATTCTTGCTGATAAGCCCCAAGCCTGGCACAAGCAGCAGCCAGCCTCAGTTTGCGTCTTGGCCTCTCAAGGCACATCCAAGCCCAGTGTGGGTGGCGGCCATCTGCAGATTGCTTTGTGGCTCACATCAGGTAGCCCTGGACAGGGCACAGGCCGCAAGTGAACTTGGCCTGTGGCAGGGCCCCTCCCAGGAGGCCCTGGCCAGCATGCTCGGTAGCCAACCTCGGTCTGAGCCAAAGCACCACTTGGGATGACAGCTTAGGATAATACACCCAAAGGGCAGACTAGGCAAGCACCAGAGCCCCGCTAAAGTGAATCCTGCTCTGTAGAGTCAGCCCTTGCACAACAGCTCCTCCATGAGTCATGGCCAGTCATCATAACCAATCAGCCTCAGGGTCACTCCCACTGATGAGCAAATAGCAACCCAAACTCAATTACAATGGGAGGGAACACATATCCCATAAAAGGGATATACCTGGAGCACGTGGCTCAGGTGACCAGGGAAGACCGTACCACTGGGACCCACAGCACACTTACTACATAAGGTCGCTCTACTAAGACTGAGAGACATAGCAGCCATACCTAACACATAGAAACAAACACAAGTAGGCAGCCAAAATGAAAAGACAAAGAAATATGTACCACATGAAAGAACAGAACAAAGCTCCAGAAGAAGAACTCAACAAAATGGAGACAAACAATCTATCAGATGCAGAGTTCAAAACAGTGGTTATAAAGATGCTCAATGAACTTAGGGAAAGTGTAGATGAACTCAGTCAGAATTTTAACAAAGAGATAAAAAACATAAAAATGAAAATGGACATAAAAACAAATCAGTCAGAAACGAAGAATACAGTAAGTGAAATAAAGAATACCTTAGGAGAAATTAATAGTAGATTAGATGAAGCGGAGGATTGAATATGCAATTTAAAAGGTAAGATAGCAGAAAATACCCAATCAGAACAGCGACAAGAAAAAAAGAATCTAAAAAAATTGAGGATATTTTAAGGGGCCTCTGGAACAACATCAAGCATACAAACATTTGCATCATAGGGATACTAGAAAGAGAAGAGACAGAGCAAGGAATTTAAAAACCTATTTCAAGAAATGATAGAAAACTTCCCTAATCTAGTGAAGGAAATAGACATAAAACCCCAGGAAGTGCAAAGAGTCACAAACAAGATGAACCCAAAGAGGCCCACACCAAGATACATCATGATGAAAATGTCAAAGGTTAAAGACAAAGAGAGAATCTTAAAAGC